CCCCACCCCCACCCCCACCCAACACACTTCCACACAAAATAAATAAAATGATTTGTGGGATAACCTCTTTGTTAAAAGGTTACCACCAGTCTCTCTACTAGTTTTGCATCCTCATTATGTACTTATATGTATAGTTTTACTACAAATTACTAAAGATATATATTCCATACGTGCCAACTCTCCCTATTGGGTAGGAATACTCCCGATTTTGAACCCTTAAATTTCGCCTTTTTAACCAATAAACAGCTAAAAACTGCCATTTAGTATTATTTTTCTGTAGGGTTACATACACATTTTATTTATGCTTTTAATTGTGATCAAGCGTAACTCCCCATGGAAATTTCAAAATGTTGGCAAGTATGATTATTCTTGAAGTACCACCTCCCATGGTCAATATAATGTAATGGCAAGAGAAAGAGGTAAAATAATACTCCCATTGTGTACCCCACATGTCCCAGCGCCCCCTCACGGTGTCTGGCTACCATGTATAAACAACGAACGTAGGAGAGCTAAACATCGGTATGGTTGGCGGAAAGTCTTCATCAAATCAAGATGATTTGGAAGCAGGCAACACAAACAACGAGATAGAAAATGACGCACAAGTAGATCTTTTGGTAAGTGACATACATGAAAGATGATGAAATACCACTGAAAGTACATAATAACGTTAAACATGAGCATATATGATACAATCAACGAACACGTGTTTATGTTCGACACGGTTGACGGATTCTTGTTTTACGTGTCAACGAGATGGTTTCTTGTCACTGTAACAGGACATATGTGTTTAGACGTGTAATCCAAAATACTTAACATTTTACGAATTAAAAGTATTGCACACATTTTCTTCAAAACCAGACAAAAACATGCCCTTTTTATCCGGAAGTATTTCCAATATGCCGTGTTTACATTTGGTGGGTTTCGGAAGCAGACTACAATGAAAACGCGGGAAACAAAATCACCATATAAGGTGATGTCTTAAACCTGTTCAAACCGACAAGTTTAAGTGTTGGACAATAACTTTTTTGGAATTAAGCCAAAATGTGATTGAATATTTACAATTTCATATATATGAAGGGCGATATGTTTTAATATACAAATCAGTATTGCAGTCGACCATCATGTAAGTTCCAAAAGATATTAAAATGAATTTTATATTGCTGCATATTATAAAAAAAAAAAATCCATTTTGAAATAAAATTAGTGTTTTCAAGCCAAGTTTTAATTATTATTTTATGAAATATTTGCCTAATTAAAGTACAAATATTAGTCTTAATGTAGTTTCTCCCCATTAAACAACATTCTTTCATTCTCTGGTTTAATGATGTCATTGATTTTAACGCAAAATATATATTTTGTCGACTTACGTAGGACATTTATGAATTAACTGCAGAACTCCAAAGTATCAAATTGTGTTTATTAATAAACTCGCTGCCATTAGCAATAGCGAAGTTGGCAATGAAAATCATTATTGATTGTAATTTAAATGACTACCGCATTTAGAAAACAAAGACTCTCGAAACTTCAAAATCGTCTTGTTTTGAAATACAGGACATTTAAGGTATTTTTTCCCCAAAACTTTAAAAGACTGGAACTTGCTTCCAGATCAACTCCACTGTAACTTGTTCAAAGCCATCATTAGGACCATTGAACCACTTTTCCCTGGGACAAGATGCTCAGCCCAGAGTTTTTCCCGGACATCCTACAGAAACCAATAGATGATATGACGACAATGTGCCAGTAATTGTAAGATTTTTGAGGCAAATGTTGATAATGTAAATAATGTGATTGACTGCTGGTCATTATGTAACTTAGCACAGTAAATGTTGAAGCCTTAAGGGAAATTCAACTTACAGAGAGAAATAAACTTTCTTTTTATATTCAATTGTCTACTGTATTTTATGGCATGGGGAGTCCGTCCATCCACACTTCTCCAAACTTAAGTTTTGTGTTTGGTTTTACGATCATTTGCTCAAATATCATTAAATTTTGTGAAAATTTAGTTCTCAATTTTACTGGGTAATGGAGGACACATATAGTTTCTTCTTGATCCATTTTCATACATCAAAATAAAATAATGCACCAGATAGCTTATAATTTAGCACATATGTAATGTATGTCAGTTTTGCATGGGACACCACTGGTGTGTATTGTTCCACTTTGGGGTTATGTGGGTTCTCTCGGTCTTTGGGAGACGCGGTAGTCCAGTGGTAGGACGCTGGTCTCGTTACCGAAGGGTTGCAGGTTCTGGCCACGGCATGGCACTGTGTTGTATCCTTGAGCAAGATACTTTACTCCGCTTGTTCCAGTCTACTCAGCTGTAAATGAGTACGTGGTTGGGCAGTGCTAGAATTGTTGAATGCTAGCTGTTAGCGCCGAAATGGCAGCTCCGGCTGTATGCTCCCCAGGAGTTGAGAAATGAATTGGCTGGTTGCAAAGGCCCTATAACCAAGGATAATAATTTGTGAACCACTTTGAGACGACCTACGAACTAGGAAGTGATAAAGCGGTATATAAGAACCTCCAATTATTATTATTAGCTGACCTGGTCCGAAGGACCATGGAGAGGTTATGCCATACCCCAGCGTCCGTCGTCCGTCCGTCAACTTTTCCTTTAAAACGCTACTAGTCATGAACGACTGAGCAGATTTGACCAAATTATTTCAGAAGCATCCTTGGGGGAAGAGGAACAAATTTTGTATAAATGGTGGGTCTGGCCCCCCTGGGGGCTGAGGGGCGGGCCCAATAGGGGAAATATAGCAAATTCTTTAAAACCCTTCTTCTTCTGTAGGAATGAAAGGATTTGTTTCATATTTGGTCTGAAGCATCTTTGGGAAAAGGGGAACAAATTTTGTATAAACCGTGGGTCCGGCCCCCCTTGGGACTGAGGGGCGGGGCCCATTAGGGTAAATATAGCAAATTCTTTACCATCCTTCTTCTTCTGTAGGAATGAAAGAATTTGTTCCATATTTGGTCTGAAGCATCCTTAGGTGAAGGGGAACCAATTTTGTATAAACCGTGGGTGTGGCCCCTAGGGGCCTGAGAGGCCCGGCCAAATAGGGGAAACAGCAAATTATTCTTTAAAATCCTTCTTCTTCTGTAGAAACGAAAGGATTTGGTCCATATTTGGTGTGGAGCATCCTTGGGAAAAGGGGAACCAATTTTGTATTAACAGTGGGCCTGGCCCCCCTGGGGGCTGAGGGGCGTGGCCCAATAGGGGAAATATAGCAAAAGTCTTTAAAATCCTTCTCCTTCTGTAGGAATGACGGGATTTTGTCCATATTTGGTCCGAAGCATCCTTAGGTAAAGGGGAACCAATTTTGTATAAACCGTGGGTCTGTCCCCCAGGGGCCTGAGAGGTGGGGCCCAATAGGGGAAACATAGCAGATTATTCTCTAAAATCTTTCTTCTGTAGGAATTGGTCCATATTTGGTGTGGAGCATCCTTGGTAAAGGGGAACCAATTTTGTATAAACGGTGGGTGTGGCCCCTCTGGGACCTGAGGGGCAGGGCCCAATAGGGGAAATATAGTTAAAACCTTTATAATCCCAATTCTACCATAGGGATAAAGGGATATTTTCCTAATTTAGCCTGGAACATCCTTAGGCAAAAGGGACTCAATTTCGTATAAACAGCTAGTGTGGCCCCCCCTGTGGGCAGAAGGGAGGGGCCCAATAGGGGAAACATAGCAAATTCTTCAAAATCCTTCTTCTTCTGTAGGAATGATAGGATTTTGTCCAAATTTGGTATGAAGCAGCCTTGGGTGAAGGGGAAACAATTTTGTATAAGCAGTGGGTGTGGTCTCCTTTAAAGGCCTGCAGCGTTGGTACAGATCTGGAATGCCATCCCACAAGCATTCTTGAACCGTCTGATAGGCTCCATGCGTCGACGTTGCCAGGCTTGCATTCAGGCAAACGGTGGACATACGAGGTATTAACTTTGTGAACTCAGTATTGACCCCTGCTGTGTTTACGTCACTCCTGAGCGGAACTTATTGATTCCATAACGTGGAAAATGGAATGAACTGTTAATAAATAACAAATAAATTGTCCCTGAAAACCTTGTTGTTCTACGTCATACACATTTTTGTAACACATTTTAGGCATGCACAGTTTCTTTTTTCCGCTAGTATATATATAGGTACAAAAACCTGTTGCCATTGGAATGGTGGAGTGTCACATATGAAATATGCCCCACTAATTTGACCCTTTGTGAATATACTATATATACATGTTCTGAAATCAAGTCTTGCACTTCACTATAATATATACAAGAGTTATGGCCCTTTAATAATTTTTTAGGAAATGTTTGTCAGGGGGAGGTTTGCTTGCAAAACATTGCCTTAAAAGTTGTTTTAAATTTTTCTTCACTTTTGACAATTTAGTATTAGTGCACCTATTAAAATTTCCCAACAGCTGAAGAATTATATATCAAATATTTTGGAACAGTTCCTATCAGATTACAAATTTTGATTGTGAACATCTTTTATGCACAGAATGTCCTTGCCATGGAGTAATTGGCTTAATGACAGATGGCTGTTTTTCCATATCTGTGGTTGATATGAATTTTGCTTGATTGTAAAAGTTTCTTTCTGAATACACCTTAGTACCAAGACGTTGACTTCTAGAGGCTAAGAGCCCTTCCCATGTAATCGTTTGCACCCCTGCATGCACAGCATATGTTTTGTAAGCTACAATAATGTATATCTTACTGATAGTAATGTTGTCAATTTGCCAAGTAATAATAATTAAATCTGAGTCAATGGTGGTCGATACTGGATCTATAGGCTATCAGTGTGACATCTTTCTACAATACATTGAGCTTGAATATCATGAATTCATTTAGTTATGCCTTGATGGTTTGTTTACTAACAGTCAATTCAAAATGGGTGACCTCCTCTTCGAAATGTGGTCTTTCTTGGCAGACATTCAGAATGATCCTTAGTATATAAGTATGGTATTGCAAGAACTTGTTAAACAGTTGATAGCTTAAAAATCATACAAGATCAATCCTGAATGAAAACAAACCCTACGACTTAATCACTATAGTGTTGGAAGGCTACTTGAACTGGAGATTAAGGCTTGCAAACGTGAAGTGATCTAGCCTGGGATTATTTTATTGTAATCCCTAACATTGTGCGAAGACTGTGCTATATTTTCTTTATCCATATTACAAATGGAATTTATTTCACCGCGTGGTCAGTTGTGTATGGTTTCTTTTTGCCGGAACTTGCCGTTAATACAAGGGGATTTCGTATGTAACAGCTGGGTTTCTAGGTATCTGTAGGTATTTATGCATGATTTTCTTTCATTGATTTATTTTATACATACGTGCGTCTGTTCTTTAAGGATTTCTAAGTTAGAGAATTTTTTTCTAATTGTTAGTCAAAAGCTTGTGTGACCTTTAGTATAGTAATGGCGGAATATCACAAAGTCCGCACATCCAGTGACGGGCAAATTATTACAAAAGGTCAAAACTTTTACAAAGACGGAAAAGTGTCTAAACGCAGTATTCCGGACATTGCTGCTGAAATTCCTTTGATACCTGAAGCAGAACTAGAGCAGGTGAGAAATGAGCATTGTTATCAATGTTTGTCTGAACAAGTGTTTATATATATGGTGTGTTTAATTTACAACCAGAATAAACTGTTTCACAATGTGATTTATCCTCCCTTGAAGGGCAATCTGTTTAATTAATGCTCCTATGATTTGATGTTGTCTTAATTATCTAATGTTGTCCTAGACATTTTCATGGGTTTTCAAAGTAAGGGACATTATTTTAGTACTGTGAAATAATTCTTTGAATAATATCTTGATCGCTACTGAACCTCCCGAAATATTCAAATTTGTTTTGTGTGTCCTTGTCGATTCCTTATACCTGGCCTTGACATACTCACTTGTATGGATATAGGTTCAGGGATAGGTCAGTGATATACTCATATTGTTGATCTTATTAATAAGTCAAAGTGTGTCATGTTGTTCATGTTTCATTTTTCTGAACACTTCTTATTTTGGAGTATTAATAACATAACGGTAAACAAGTAAACAAAACTCCATTTTTTGGCCACAATTAATTCTCTCAACAATTGTTTCTGCTAGCATGACTCCATTGCAATTAACATCTAGAGGAAGGAAATTATTTACAGATTTGAATTAAAAAAATAAATCATTTTTATCTTCTGCACAAAATCAAACATGAACTTAATATGAAGATGAATGGAAAAATCTTTGTCAATAAATATAAAATATAAGTGACTATGATGTACATTTGCCAGTGACTTAATGTAAAGGTATTACAGTGTATATAATTTATTATGAGGTTATGTATATTCATTTTTTTTTATCCATGGCAATATGCCATATGTTAACTGATCACAGTGTAATAAAACCACATTACAAGGAAACCTTATTAGATTGATATGTCAGCTTCAAATTCAGGTACATTGTAATAAGATATACAGAGTTGGCGTTTAATTTAAAAGTGGTCATTAACTCCTCTAATTATAAATTCAGTGCCAATTGAGGGGACAATTCAGTATACAATACAATGTAGACAGTACACACAGTGGACTTGACTCTCTGCCAATTTATAGTGGTTTAATGTTTTGATTTTGTAGCCATTTTGCCCCAAGTTGAAAACTAAAACATTTATTTACATATTATATACATTTATAAACAAACAAACGGCTGATCAATAGGCATCATTGATTAATCATATTTACATTTTAATTTATGGATGAATGCAATGGTAAATACAGAAGCTAACTGCCATCTGGGATTTCAAGTTAAGAATACTCTACTTTCTAGAGTTTTATTTTATAATTCCCAAAACTAATGTAGGTGGTGGAAACAGAAGCCAGACATGCGTTTTAGAATGAAATAAGTGTTAACTGTATAAATATTAAATTTAGTCCTCATTTACAAATTCTACCACGATGCACCACAATCATAAAATATGGTTAATTTAATGAAACTGAGTTCAATTCCCGGTCTAAAAGCCTGTATTTTAACCTGTTCTTGATTAGCAGATGAGGAATGCAGGCTCCTTGCATTTAGGCCTCTTGTCCCATCTACATATACGTATATATATTATGTATATATAAAGTAACATAATAAGTATATGATGATTCTGGTATGTTAACATTAGTATAGATGTAGTGTTTTCAAGGTAAACAATATGGAGACCATACGATCATACATATTCCTCGATAGTTAAAAAAAAGTCCAGTCAAAGCATGTCTGTTGGTAAAAGTTGCCAACTTGGCCGTAGACATTTTGGCAGTTACTCAACTAGACAAAGATCTTTGTGTTTTACAGGATAACCTCACCTGTATGCTGTTGAGCAATGAGTGTAGACAAACACGTGTATAACCTACTTAGGGCTCGCTACGATCTCATATAATTCTGAGAATTGAACAAGATTATCTCTCAAGAATACATATCCTCAAAGAATATCTGGAATTTAAGATGATTTGTACAATTATATTCTTCTCTTGATTTATTTATAAAACATGTAGTTAGAATGATATGTCTAATAATGATCGTATGAGTTAATCATATATAGAATGATATCATAAATCACCGGGAATACTCTAGGTATGTAGACTAGGGCCCAACAAACTGAACAAAAAGTATCTATCTTTTAAGGATCCCTGTTCCACTGGTCTGTGTTTTTTCCTACCTACAGTAAGCTCCCCTCAACTTCACTTTAGATATAACAGGAAAGCAGTACTAGTTCGGTCATGACAATTCCGTTTTACAGGTAGCTCAAACGGTTAGAGAGATCGTATAACAGTCTGAGGTCCAGGGTTCGAATCCAGCGCTAGCCATGCTGAATTTTTACATTCGGAATACTTGTTGTTGATTATATTTTGATTGTTCATTATTTTTCCTAAAAGTCTCGCAAGGTATGATTTTCTTTTCAGAAATGATTTATCAAAGCTATAGTCTTGCGGGTAAAAACGGATTCCAGTATTGAATTACAGTTTTGGCAGTGGTACAGGGATCCTTATGGGGTTGGCACCAATGTTTCCTTAGTTAGAATTATATTGAGATATATACCATGCTTTTGGAAATTGTTAACTGTACAAAAAGGATTTTATAACAGATTCACAAGGTTCTCTACATTAAAACTTTTCTTCAAATTTGAAATGATCCACATCATTCAGAACATTGGTATTCATCCTAATACTTGATAGTTATTCAACCTGCCAGTCTCTGTACATACAAATGACTTGCTTTAAGTTATTCGTATTTGGTAGATGGTATAAACCATATTCTAGATTACCTCTATTACAGAGCAAGGTGCACCTGAACAGAATGCTCTAATTTATACCATTACCGCTGGTATTGAAAGGTTTGAAATCTCATTCTGTATTTTGAACTCAAAACTGTGAAATGGAATATTTAACTGGTATACATGTATTTTAACAAACATACAATACTTAAAATGTTGATCTATAGCTGTTGGACGATTATAATGCAGAAGATGCCTCATTGATGTCAGTGTGAGAAAGGTTAATTTTGGTACATTCCTAGAGTTTAAAACTTCAGGATTGGGGAAAATGTCCATGTCATTTTATATAACATGACATATTCTGCCAATTTTCTTGTCTTGACTTGGCTGTACCTGTGTTGCAGTGGGGTAACACTTTAGTGCTACATAATAAGTATATGATGGTACTCTGCATATCTATACATACTGTAGCATGACTACATATATATATACTGTATAGGTCAAAGAAGTAATATAGACGGTAAAATCCCATATAACACTGGATCCTAATGGAGGTATGTCCGTAGGATACAAATTACTTAAAATATTATATGGGGCAAAGAAGTAATTCCAACAGTGTGGACAAGTTTAGGTTGTCAAATTTTCGGAGTGATCCGCTCCTTTTTCAAGACACAGTGAAACAGAACAGTTACATACATGTACATATACATCATATTACAAGAAGATAGAATTGATATACTATAATTGAAAATTATAGCATATCAATACTATAAATAAAATACTAATATTTTCAATTATAGTATATCAATTCTATCTTCTTGTAATATGATGTATATGTACATGTAACTGTTCTGTTTCACTGTGTCTTGAAAAAGGAGCGGATCGCTCCGAAAATTTGACAACCTAAACTTGTCCACACTGTTGGAATTACTTCTTTGCCCCATATATATATATATAATTGTACTGTTTAACGGGAAGTAGAAGTATTCGTTACTTTCTGTAATGTGATCCTGCAATTCACCGACATTTAACAGAGCTAATACATTTTAATTGTTGGTTAATATTTTAACTCATTCACCCCCTTCAGTTTCAAACTTGCATTGCCCAGTCTTTGATTTGGAATTGTTCAAATGTAACTTAAGGGGTGAATGGGTTAATGCAATAAGCAGAAAGTTAAATAAATATAGATCTATACACAAGTTTTCGTCTCTTCACCTTCGGAAGTTAAGTCAAGAGAACCATATATCATCAAGTTTAAATGTTTTACTACCATGGTCACTATTGTTGAGTATTAATTTGGTAGTTATGTTTTAAATTATGGAAGTATTGCATACAAATTACATCTATTGATGCATTTAACAGAATCATAATTATTTGAAATTAGAATATATGAAATAAATAAAGAGTAATAAGTACATAAAAACTTCTGGGGTTGAACCCAGGACCAGCTTTCCACTACCGATCTCACACTTGATTAATGTTGGTATGAAGGAATTGTAAAGGCAAAGCATCAAAATGAATGATGAATACTTCAACAGTGGAAGTAACTTAACTCATTCACCCCTGAAATTTCATAATGAACTATTCCAACCTTTGAATCAGAGGAGTTCAAATGTGTCTTCAGGTGTGAATGAGTTAAAGCTGATCACTGATGTTGCTTAGCTTTTATAAAGAGTAAAAAAACACCTATAAAATATGATTTATAATAGTGGAGCTCTCCTTACCAATTACATGCATGAGTGGTCTAGATCTAATAGAGCTCTCTATATATACCAGTTGCTTCCCCTTTTAACAAATTTGACCAGTGTTTAATTCACTCACATATTAAATCAGTTCTCTCACATATACACTTACAGGTACTGCAGACAAGATACAATTAATATCCTTTCATTTTTGTCCCATTTTCATTATGCCGTCTCCTTCACATGCAAGAAATATATTGCATAATAGTAGCAATTTAAATGTCCCATTGTACGATAAGGTTATATTGGTACCATGTATATTAGCTATAGGTAAGAAACACAACAGTTTATAGTTTACATTTCATATAAATTTCAACTCATCACAATCCTTTTATGACATTAATTTCCTTTCACTCTTTAAAATAAGTCTTGCTTAATATTATTGAAGGATTTCTGATTTAAAATTTCCTGCCTAACAGTAATAATCATGTTATAATGTAAAATGTCTTACAAAGATCATATTGCCTTGTACTAAAATTTGAAAAATAGGCAAACTAGGAGCTGACCTGTCCAGTCTGTTCCATAAGTAACCCAATACTGTAGCATGATGTAAAAATGTGTTGGACATGGAATACAAACACATTCACAGGTAAGTGATACTCAAAGCCTGGGAGGTCAATTACACTGGATACTGACCAGTTGATAGACCTACAACATGTATGTATCTGGTACTGTTTGCATTCAAACTTTTGAAAGAAAGGGGTATCATGTTTTTCAGAGGGGGACGGAGAAATACCATAGCGACTCTGAGCCGTCGGCCAACAAGAAGTGGGGAGTAGCTTGGTACAAACAGGAGTATCCCGACAACATGGAGAGTGTGGTGAGTATTGAACAGTCCATTTACGTAGAGAGGTACATTGTATACTGTTTATCCAATACTACGCCAGTTGTGTTTTACTGAAGAGTAACCCATTGTTGTCTACTCCCACATAACATCATAGGCTAAATGGATAAATTGATTCTGAAAATTGCATGTTTATAGTCTTGTTTATAGAAATCTGTTGCACATAGTAGAATTATTTCCCTTGTGAATGGGAAGTAACTGAGGAATAATCTATATCTGTACTAAGTATATCATATTGATGTAATACAACCTCAAATTGAAATCTGTTGGAGCCAATTAATATATAAAGGAGAAAACAATGGAAATGTAAAGTTTTTAGCCCTCCATCTATTCAAATCGCCCTCCGTCCATTTCTTCTTTTTAGACTGATCGGATAAACAAAATGTCTGACAGGTGACTTTGAAGGTTTGTTAGTGCCATTTCTCAGGAAAAACTTGAGGGATCTTGATCAATTTGCTTATTAGTTCTTCTCTTCCAATCAAAGGGGGACGGTAGTAGTGTTTTAATACAGGTTCTTCTGGATCATCAAACAACAACTTGTCAAGTTATAACTTTTTAACAGTTAGATATATGTTGGTTAAAACTTGCAGTACATATTACTGTAACTGCCTCGACAATAGGTATACAGTGCAGCATAGTTAGGTCACAGCTGTGACTGAAACGAACTTTCACCTGTAGGTCAATAATTACAAAGTATGGAAATGTGCATATTGATTGATGTTCACAAAATGAGATATAAACAAAATTCTAGTTATTTGTATGAAATTAACACACTACTGTTCTGCATATATATATATATGGAATTAAATTACTAAATAATGGATTATTAATTTTTGTTTGAAAGTTATGCACATTTTACAAGGAAACACATATATATATCTAGCTTCTAGGTACAATCTTCTAGGTACAAAGTAGGCTAAAATTTGTAGGAAACTTGTCGGAGGTTTTGAATGTGATGATTAAGAGAATATTCCTTGGTGCTTGCAGTATTTCGGAGCTATTAAACATTTAATCTAGTTTAATATCAGTCTTGGACTCCTGCCACTAAAGCTGTTAGGGTAGATTCTATATTTGGAACATGATTTGAATGGACCTGTCACCTGCTTTGGTCATTGTTATAACTGTACTAGGATTAAGTTCTGATCCAGAACTACTTCTGTAGTCTACTGTTTTAGACTTTCTAATTCATTTATTTCTGCAGTGATCTTGATAGGCATATGGAGGCACTTAGCAATCTTTCCACATGGAAATGAAAATAAAATAATTCTGAAAATTAATGATCAAATCATATGATTTATTTAAAATAATTTACTTAGCAATTTTTTACAAATTTATACAGTGAAATACCAATTACATTATAACAGATCTGATGTAGGTTGATGTAGATCTAATGTAATGTAGAAACAGTGTGATATTAGTATAATACTAAACCTGCTGTAAAATTTGTACGCATCAATCAACTCTGATACAAGCTTTGCTGATCAGTGCTATATGTAATTCTGCTAATATGAAGTACACAACTTTGAAGCATACTTGTCAAGAGCCCCATTTCGAGATGCAGATTTTGGTCAAACTAATATTACCTGGAGTACTACGTATACCTAGCTACCAAACTTAGTCAGAGTACTACCTACCTAAGTGTCTTGCTCTGGTTTAATGTTAGACAACTCCACAAGTTTAACGAAGCTGCTGCGTTCTGATTGGCTGATTGCTTTATGCGCATGCAATAACTTTCAAAAGAACAATCAGTCTTCTTTGATGTTTGTATGTCTTTGTTTTGATTGTAAATGGTACCTAAACTTAGGTTTATGCTGTCTTGCTAGATTTTCTGGATCTCAAAATTTCAAATGGCTTCTGATGGGCTGAGACATGAGTATGATATTAGTTCTATTGGTATGATTTTATTCCTACCTAAATATGGTTATACGTGACTACTGGTAAATGATACTTAGTGGAAAGTCTATATTGTGAATGAGGATATACAGGATTAACTGGGATGTGTTATATATATATATATATATATATATATATATATTCTTTTTGTGATGCTTTATGGCAAATAGTCAAAAAAATCAAAATTATTGCTGTGCTTCTGCCAGGCCATGATGGAGGATATGTACGGTCAAGACATGCTGAGCTCATTGGTTGAGATAAACGATCAAACATGACTAAAACTTTTTGAATATATACATAACAGCCTAGTTGCAAAAGTTTTGAACTTACACATGTAACCTGTGTGTTGTGTATCCCCTTAGAATACAACAGACCCAGAACAACTAGTCCAGGATGTGTCTAGTACAGCAATCCTTACCCCTTTGGATGATGACTTGGTTGGCGAGATTCGAGAGATCAAGGATCGTGGAAACTGGACTGGGCGATTTGATTTCCTGATGTCTCTCCTTGGCTATTCTGTTGGACTTGGTAATGTCTGGAGATTTCCCTACCTAGCCTACAGCAACGGTGGAGGTAAGGTTTATAGACAGAAGAAACAGCTGTATTTTAATTTGTTTGAGTGTCATCCCTCAGGATGAAGTTGCTAACTGTTTAATGGTCCTCTGTTTTTATCGTTCTCATGCCTTTCTCTTCCCACTGTCATCTTTATCTGGTACATATACGTACCAAGTCAAAACTCTTTGTCAATAATTGCAATGTCATGTGGGTATGATTAACTTAGGATTAAATATAGATTAGCCAAATTATCTTTTGAAGGTTCCCCTACAGTAACAAACAACAATATATGTACACTGATTTGCATCAAACACTCTGCTGGAAATTCTTACTGTATAACATGCATGGCTACAAATTCTTAAAATAGGTCACCTAGATAATTAGTGAGATTTTGTGTAAATGCTATTTCTTTGGTCACATTCACATAAATGATGATATACCAGGTAAAGAATGTATTGGTAATAAAATGTTCAAAGGGTTCGGGAAATGGATTTGAAAAAGACTGACTTTAGTCCAAACTTGAGTTGTCAATATATTACCAAAATGAAAATTGAAGTAATTCCTAATTTATTGGTGTATAGATTTATATTTCTCCCACAACCATTGTAGGTTGCCTCACTTCCGACTCATTGAATAAACCTGCTAGGAGTTGGTAACCATTTTTAGCTCACCTGGCCTGGCGTCTGTCGTCCGGCGTCCGGCGTCAATATTTTACTTTAAACGACTTCTTCTTAATAACCGAAAGGCCTAGGGTGTCGATATTTGGCCAGAAGCAAACTTGGATGAAGGGCTACAAAGTTTGTTAAAATTAATGACCTTCACCTATTTTCAAGGTCACAGGGGTCAAATATGTCAAAAACTTTAAACATCTTCTTCTCAAAAACCAAAATACCCAGGGAGAGGATATTTGGCCAGTAGCATGCTTGGGTGAAGGGCTAACAAGTTTGTTCAAATGAATGACCTTCAATTATATTCAAGGTCACAGGGGTCAATTGTATTAAAAAACCTTTAAACAACTTCTTCTGAATAACCAAAATGCTCAGGGTGATGATATTTGGCCAGTAGCATGCTGAGATGAAGTGCTACAAAGTTTGTTCAAATGAATGACCTTCACCCATATTCAAGGTCACAGGGGTCAAATATGTTAAAAACTTTAAACAACTTCTTCTGAATAACCAAAATGCCCTGGGTGATGATATTTAGTCAGTAGCATACTAGGATCAAGGGCTACCAAGTTTGTTTAAATGTATGACCTTGAATCATATTCAAGGTCACAAGGAGCAAATATGTTTAAAATATTTCAACAACTTGTTCTGAATAACCAAAAGGCTCAGGATGTTGATATTTAGTTAGTAGCATATGCTGGGATCAAGGACTACTATGTTTGTTAAAGTGAATGACTTTGACTTATATTCAAGGTCACAGGGGTCAAATTTGTTTAAAATCTTTAAACAACCTCTTCTGAATAACCATGGGTCCCAGGATGTTTATACTTTGCAAGTTGCATCCTGAGATGAAAGGCTATACAATGTGTTCAACATAATGACTTTGTTCGACTTTCAATCACAGTGGAGAAATGTTTTAAAAAAAAACAACAGGGTCTTTTGAATGAATTTTAATCATAAATACTGATATTTTGCCTGTAGCTTTATTTTAGATCACTTTTAAGGTTACAAGTGTGAGTTTTATACCAGGTGAGCGATGCAGGCCCATTGGGCCTCTTGTTGGTTACCCATTAGTGGGTAACACCCTGGACGTGATTTCATTGGTCAATCTTCTAATTATGACGTCATGTAACAATGCTTTGCGACGTCATCTGCCATTGTGACGTCATAGTTCATTGCACTTTTCCCCCAATCATCAACAGGAATAAGGTATTTCCAAGAGAAACATCAGGTATCTAGATACAATTTCTGAATGTTGTGGGAGAAAAAGGCCCCTTAACTACTGATGGTAGGTTATCATGTTTATCTAACTCTCGTTAGTTAATTTTCAAATCGTAAAAGTCACTGGGTTAACCTTGTTAGATAAACATTATAACCAATCACCACTCGTTAGGGAACCTCTATATATGTAAAGTTAGATACATTGAAACTTCACAGTAGGATATAGTTTCTTGGGATCTGGTGGCTTCAGCTGCCTGCCATATAATTGTATGCACCAATGGTCACAGAATAGAGAGATGATCATGATCATAGATATTACTGTGTATATATGCCTTATGCATAACTTTCAAGATTTACCTAGCTTAATGCAATGACAGACCTTTATTTTGTAACAAAGAAGTGAAAATTACAGTTCTACGTTTGTTTTCACTAAGTTGCACTTCAAGTTGTAGCTATTAAAACCACAAATGAAGTCTTAAGTGCACTTCAGTTGACTTGATCTTGCTTCTATTCAGTGTACTGCGCACCATCACATTTAATTTTGATATATATATATGTAGCATGTATCATACCACTCATGGTGACCTAACAAATAGTAACAGTGTCACAAATTAAGGACGACAAAGAAAAAACTTGTGACATTTTTCTGCTCTATTTAGTTGATGTAAAATTGTGTGATTTTACGTATAAGTACAGGAAATTTGTATATTTTTAGAATTTCCCAACTTGTTTCCTATCCTTCTGTATTCGGCTCACGTGGCCTGAAGTGCCTTTAAGTTTAAGCCGAGCAATTGCATTTTGCCTATCATCCATGCATCACAAAGTTTTCTTTCAACCAGCCGCGGTGGCCAAGTGCTTAAGGCATTTGACATTCTGCTTCAACTAGCCCTCCACCACTGGGTCGTGGGTTCAAGGCCTACGTGGGGCGGTCGCCGGGTACTGGCTGTAGGTCGGTGTTTTTTCTCTGGCTTTCCTTCACCACCAAAACCTGGCACGTCCTTAAATGACTATAGCTGTTTATAGTACGTGAAACACAAACAAACCAAACCAATTCAATTCCTCCTACACAACTGTAAGGCCAAAAGTGGAGGGCTGTATATTTGTTAGACAAACTTTGACAAACCTTTAAAGTAGAGTTCCGTATGTTAAATACTTTAAACTACTTCTGGTAAAGAATATTCAAATATTGTGTGTATTTGTCCTGTAGGTTAGCTTCCTGGGTTAAAGAGCTTGTCATATTTGTCCTTAAGCTAGATGGGGGAAAGGACTATCAACATTGTTCAAATAAATAACTGATCCACTTTCAACCTCATAGTAGTCAAGTGATTGAAAAAAACCTTAAATGACTTAAAGTATTTTGATATTTCGTCGGTAGCATGCTGAGGTAGAAACTAAGACTATCAGTATGATCCAGGTATTTAAAATTTAAAATTTAGTGTACTAGTCTGCAGACAGATTTCAAAAACCTTAACTAGCCCAACCTATCATTTCATTTAACTAATAAAAAATCTCACTAGCTCTGACATGAAATTTCTAGTTGGGCTATCCAGACTTATACTTCCCAGGAATGTAATACTTTTCCTTTTTTTAATGTAAACAGAATGACTCGCTTTCAAGATTGTCGAGGCTCAATGTTTTTGCAAAATAACTAAATAAAATCAGATGAACGAAGAATAAAGCCCTTGGACCAGCTTGTTATAAAATTATCTTCAGTGAAGTTTTCCAAAATTATATGTGATTGGATGAGAATTCAAATTTATATATAATAATCTGAGATATTATATTGAAGATGTTTCCTTGAAAAGGCAGGGAAATTCCATAGTGTTTAACAATACATGGAAAAGTAGACAAATACATGTACGATGTTGGCTTCAGCAGCGTATATTAATTAACATCAGATTTTTATTGGTAAGCTTTGTATACCAACAAAGTACAATATATTTTAGCAGCTGTTGCAATTTTTCCCCAGCTGTCACTTTAGTGATGATATCATGGCAAATATATGTAGACTCATTTGATGTATATGCATTAAAAAGGGTTTAGACTTTTTTTTTTTAATCATTAAGTAATTTTCATTAAAAAATATTGTTAAAGTTTTCAATTTGGAATGGAATTGAATAAAGCTCCTTTGTATTAAAAAAATAGGCTGTTATATATATTCATTGCTATGTGTTATGTTGAAAAGCAGCAGAAGTTAAAAACATTAGTGTTGAATTTGTAGGCAAAGCAGTAAATGTATACATGTCCAGCATCCTTTGATGTCATGAGGACATGACAGAACACAGTTTTGTCATGAGCTCCTCAACAAAGGCACATTGTTTTGCCATTTAGAATAAAATTGTATATATTACATGGCAAATGATGTATAAATGCCTTTATAATGGGGTCTGGATTACCCTAATGTTGTAGTTATTGTAATACAACACAGTCAGGGTTTGGAATGTTGATATGCACTATGTAAAACAGAAAGTGTTTATTTCTAGCCTGCCAAAATCGGTGTACAGTATTAAGTTTTTAAATGATGTTAGCAACTTTGACCAGTAATATTTATTTGATAATTTCCATGACCTGTTTTCAAAATCCAATTCTATCAATATCTAATATGTTTTAATTATTTTTGTTTTGGATCAATGTTATCATTTATACTGTTTGGCCATGTATGATTTTATTTATGTATTGCAGAGCTATGAAGAAAACGTAGGTTTAAATTCTGCAGCTTAGAGTTAAACAGTCAAATAAATGCAACAAACTCAGACTCAATCAGCTCTAAACAAGGGAAATAACTGTTAAACCAGAAAGTCTGTTATAAAATAATTTGTTAGTAAATTATATGGATATTTCACCAGTTGGTGTTTCAGTTTCTTGATTTTAACATTCTAATGAATAGTCACTTTGATAACAGAACATTAAATTACCAATCAGTAATTTGATATTAGCTATATTTAACTGAAGAGAAAATAAAACCATTACTCAGTAAATTGATTGATTATTTTAAAGTTTAACCGTTCACTTACTGGTAATTTAAACTTTGGAATTATCTTTGTATCCCAGTGAAGTAAGGACTATGTTTACTCCACACTGTTGACTTGTTTAACTCTTTCACCCCTGAAATTTCATAATGAACTATTCCAA